TTTTAAAGAACTGTTTGCACAATTACTCCTTTAACCACTTAAATCCCTTAAAATCAAACTGCGGGAGAATAAGGAAGGACTACCCCCCTCCTCCCGTTTGGCGCCGAACGATTACATGATTTGCATTAACTTATATTGTAAAGAATAGTGACTGGCGACATTTTTTTAGCGAATGACTGGAGTTACACCACCAGCATATTTAAAAACTGTCACCATCCTGACAGATTCTGAGAAAAACACAAGGACCGACCCACCTTCCAAACAAGGTGTCCAAGGAGCTCCGCCCCTCTAAAGTTACCTGCAGAGTCACCTTCTCAACGGCGCAGTTTCTGAGAACCGACTGGAAGCTTCTTGTGCTACAGGTGTGCAGTTTTGGAGTCCAGCGGGTTTACTGAGATTAGAGATAGTGCGAGATTTGCAGCGGAGGGTTTTCTTTTAGTCTTCTAGCTGCAGGTTGGGATGGCTGGCTGATGTTTAAGGCGCTGTTTCATCCACGTTTGTCACCTTTCGCATCCAATCCGGAAATTTTCACAGTAAGTTTCAATGATGGGTAACAGACATGCTAGTCAACTGTTTGTGTCTAAAGCCATTACATTAAATTTACATTAAAACGAATAAATAAATAAGTATTTGCTTCATAAATCGCAAATTGACTACACTGGAGCTTTTCAGTCGTGTCATACGATCTTGTGCGCCAGTAAAAGTTTAACTTTACCCTTTAAGTTTGTCTTGTCTAAGTTTATATAATAACGCTGCGTGATTAGTTAAACGTATTCATTTATAAACTCCGTGTAACCTTGTGTACACCGATGTGAACCGAATGGATGGGAACCACCAGGCTTCATGGAAGCAGTCAGTTACTGGCATGGAAGAAAGCAGATGGCAGTATAATAAACAAGTAATTGGTTCCTGTGTGGTCAAAAGTCATGTTTGCTGTTGTTTTAGACGTGGTGTGGTCTTAAAATATTTTAAATATATATATAATAAAAAGTTTCAATTTTTTTGCAGAGAAAACAAATGGTGCTGGCCTGGTAGCATAGACTACATGTTAATGAATGAGCTTATAATATACACGATTTATTTTTTAATATTATATAGTGTAGTCTATAATCTCACATAAAGCCACTGTATCCAGCTGAGATCTATATCACCTGACTAATACAGAACATTCATTATTTAGATATAAAAACTAGATATTAACCTGCAAGCGTGCAAATACTTTA